GAATTAATTTATTTGATAGCCACTTGCTTCTCTATTCATCTTATAATGGATGTGCGCACTTTTTCTCAGCTCTGGGACACCGTCTGGTGCAGACATTTGCTGACTGTGTGCTTTCTGCCACATTCTCTGTGAGTTCATATTTGTGTCAGCTCTGTTGTGTCTAGAAGATCTTGATTCTTTGGTGTCTGTCCTCCATCCATCATCTCCACAGAGTGCCCTTATCCTTGAGGGGAGGGATTTGTTGGAGATGTCCCTTTTAGGGCTGAGTGTTCCAACATCTCTCTCTTTCTGCACATTGGTTGTCAGTCTCTGTATTTGTTCCTATCTACTGAAGGGGGACACTTCTCTGATAATAGATGAGCAAGGCATGGATCTGTGATTGCAGCAGAATGTCATTAAGGATCATGTTATTGCTGTATCCCTTAGTGTAACAGTAGAATTTGGCTTTCCCCTAGGTCCCTGGCCTATTTAGTCTCAAGTTCTTGTCCATCCAAGCAGCATTGAGTATCAGCTCTGTCTTATGGAGTGGGCCGTAATTCAAATCAGTTATTAGTTGGTCGTTCTCACAAGCTTTGTGGCACCAGTGCCACAAGACCTATCTTTCAGGTAGATCACTCTTGTAGGTTGAAGGATTTGTAACTGGGTTGGTGTTTACATTTTTTTTTTCTTTTGTTAGAATGCAGAGTACCTTCCAGTTCCATGAAAACTAGTTTTTGGTGGTGAGGGCTTTAGGAAGGCACCAGCTTTCTTCATGTTCAATGAATTGTGTATGCATTTTCTTCAGTTACAGGGCTTTACCATCAGCTTGTGGGTGACCACCAAGAGCCTTGGCGAGATATTGGACTGTGTGGGGGTTCCCAAGGGACCCCTTTGGCTAACAACTCAATTGGATGTAACCCATTCCCAATGTTGGAAGCTTCATTTGGTGATCAGAGATGTCCAGTCGGGGCTCTGTCTCCTCTGTTATTTGACAATTTCATTTAGAACACCTCTATGTATGTATATATTATGGGAAGCTTCTAGTATATTAGATTTCCATATGACCCCTCAAATGGCCTTTAGTTTTAGGTGTCCTGCCCTGTATTCTTTTCCTTGCCCTCCCCCTCTTGATTCTCTCATTCCAGTCTATCCCTTCATCCACTCATAACTATCAATTTTCTTTCTCCTTCCTAGGGAGGCCCACCCCTCCCCCATATTCCCTTAACTCTCTACCTAACCTCTGTGGTTATATGGATCATGGCGTCTTTATTAATGACTTAACAGCTAACATCCATGCATAAACAAATACATACCATATTTGTCTTTCTGGCTCTCAGTTCCCTCAGGATAATTTTTTTTTTTTAGTTCCATCCATTAGATTAATGTTTTAGATTTCACAAGATAAAGGGTCTTCAGAGTAAAAAAGTTGGTGTGAAACACTTCTTATTGCTTTTTTAGCAAATATGTATTTACGAAACTATGGGTTGATGTGGACCAAATTACAGAAAATTTAATTGGCCGTTGCAGATGGCAAAATGTTCTCAGGGATATCATCATGTCATACAAGCATTAAAATATACATATTTTGTTTAAAGTGCAGCACAACAGCTTACTTACTCAATTTATTGCTGTTTATGGGATTATGTGTAAGAAGAGAGGTCTTGTAATCTTGCAGCTACAGAAGGTCTTCAATCTGACAGTCTGGCCTTAAACTCTTTTATCTTCTGCCACTGGAAAGTTTTGTGGCCTTGGGTTTTACTCAGATTTTCTGTGCCTTGGTTTCCTTGTTTATAAAGCAAAGGAAAATAATGATTGCCTTAAAAGTTGTTTTGTGAACATGAATAATTAACACAAAGTGGTCCCATGATGTTACAGACCACATAGTAAGTTTTCAGTACAATGTGAGATGACAACCAATTAATTAAAAGACTGCTTAATTGCATTATTTTCTAGTTGTTGGCAGTTGATAAAGGGAAAGCTAAAATGTGGGTGTAGAAAAAAAATAAATTTTATTTATAATGGGAAGGAAAGAACATCTTTAATTTTTATAATCAAATGACTTTTCTAACCCTAATAATTGTTATCTGTCAGTATTACATGGAACAGTATATTCTGAAGACCTTTATAAAGTTTGTTTTTTTTAACTTCAAATTTTCTGAAAGAATAATTTTCTAAGTTCTGTGAGAATCAAATACATCATATTTTGTTCATAGTTACCCTCCCCCATCTCCTCCTAGATCCACTCCCTTCCCTGTACGTCCAACCTCTTGAAAAACAAAACAAAACAAACAGCACCATTGAGTCCAATTTCTGCTACCCATATTTGCTTGAATGTGGGCATCCACAGGGGTGTGGTCCCCTTACCAGGCTCCACACGCTTAAAGAAAATGACCTACCAGCAGCTGTTGGTTGCCAATAACTCTTCAGATAGGGGTAGAACTTAATGTCTACCTCCCTGCTCCATACTTAGATTTTGTTCAATTCAGGCCGTTGCAGGGCTTTTGCATGCTGTCCCAATGATATGTGCAACTGCTCTGTATGCTGTCCCAATCATATGTCGACTCCCCTGCATGCTGTCCCAATGATATGTGCAACTGCCCTGTGGAGTCTGGAAAATGATTTCCTGGGAGGATGGTATATGTTCTAAAAATACCATTTAGATCTGAGTACTCTGCAGTTTCTTGTTGCCTTCATCTCAATAAGTTGTGAGTCTCTGTGTTAATCTCCATCTATGGCCAAAAGAAGCTTTTCTAAAGAGATTTGAGAGAGGCACTATAGGGGTAAAATATTACATCATCAAGAGTTAGTTAACTATGATGTCCATTTAGAGGAATGGCAGGTTCCTCCCTATGGCCCATGACCTATCGAGCCACAGGTTCCTAGTCCTGAAAATGGTGCTAAGTATTAGTTTCATCTTGGGGTGGAGGCCTTAAAGATATTCAGAAAGTGCTTGGTTACCTCCATCACCTTCATGGTAATATTGCACCACTGATATCAGATTCACCTCACAGGATTCACAGCTGGTAAAAGTGATGATTAATTTTCTTCTTTGGAAGCAGGCATAGCACAATAAAAGCCAGTCACCGGGATGGAAGCCTCTAGTGTTCCCTTCTCCACCCTGCCCTCCCTTCCACACCCCAGATAGTTCTTTATGTTCCATTATTCATCTTTCCTCCTTTACATCACTGTGTTCTATCTCCTCTCCCTTAAAAGTTCCCTCAGGGATCCTAAGTGACCCCTGTGGGTATCTCAAATGAAACACAAATATCTAAAGATTCAAAGCTAGCATCTGTGAGAGAAAACACATACTAGTCAATTTCCTGGATCAGGATTTTATTTCACTCAGACTGAATATGTCCGGCTCCATCCACTTACTTGAAAATTTAACAATTTCATTTTTGCATCTAAATAATATTCTATTATGTAGACATATCATAGTTATATTCATTCATCTATCAATGATGAGTGGATAATATGAATGAATGAATGAATGAATGAATGATAGCCATCTAGGATATTCTTATGTCCTGACTTCTGTGAATAAAACAGCAATGAACATGGATAAATATTTTTTCAGAAAGATATAGAGTCCTTTGGGTATATGCCCAAGGGTGAACTAGCTGGGTCACGTGGTAGATCTGTATCTAACGTTTTGAGGAACTTCCCTACAGGTTTGCATAGTGGCTATATCAGTTGGGACTCCCACTAGCAGTGAATGGATGGTCTCCTTCCCCTACATCCATGCCAGCATTTCTTGTCTGTTTTTAAAATTTATACATATGAGCATTCAGCAGGACCTTTGGTAATAGACATTTTCTTTGGTTCCTGAAAAGTGTCTTGCATCATTTCTTTGAACTTCTCGTTTATATTCTCTTTCTAATGATTATAGAACTCTTGTTCAAGTTTTAGGCTTTAAAAAAAACCCTCAGTTTTTTTTAACTACTAACTTCTTTTTTGTAGTCTATCTATTATGATATTGCCTGATCTATTTTCTAGTTCTTCCACTGCAGTGCATGTTTGTACTTATGTGTGTGTATATATATGTATGTACACATATGTGTTTATGTATGAATTGTTGTATTGGGTGGTATTCTTCTGTTCTTGTTTTATAGATATTGTCTAGGCACCTGAGAAAAATATAATTTATAGAAGAGTTTGTTTTCCTAGAGACTTTCTTCAAATATATGATGACTGTTATTTGTATGTAGCTGAAACATTAAGAAGTGTTTTGCTAGCGGACTGGTTAGGGGTCATCTTCACATGCCTGTCTCCTCATAGCTTCATGAGTAGCCTGTCTCTCAGTTATTCAGTCACACAACCACTTTTCTTTCAGGGTCTCATCTGTCTGCTACTACCTCCCTGTCTGCGACTCCACAGTCACCCGCCATTGTCCCCACATGTTCTTGATGCTGTTCCTCCCCTTCCTTCTGTTTCCATTGCTGACTTTGTCTCATAGTGTATGAATTTTTAACAAACCTGGTACAGTCACTTTAGTGGGATTTGGGACGTAGCGAAAAGTTTGTATGGTTGGCATGTGTTCTACTTGTGAAAATTTCAAAGTATTATTTATTCCTGTCATGCCTGTCACAAAGAGTTTGTGGGGTTTACTTTTGGTGACCCCCTTAAAGCATTTCTTACAGTAATTCCTATTTCACTCAAGTATCTCATATTGGTCTCCTTGTTACATTTTCCTTAATTCTATGACTAAACTTACGTTCTTGATAAACCATAAGATTTCCCTCATTCGTTGCTGTTCACATATTTTCCTGGATCGTTATTCTGCCCTGGTCTCTATTGCAAACTTCATTAGTTTGCATATTTCTCACCCACTCTCTTTGCTCTCAACTTAAATGAAATTATGCCTATCTTTGGCCTAGCAAGATGGCAGAGACTGGTCATATGGCTAGAAGTCAGCTGGCTTGCTAAGACATGCCAGCGAGTTAGTTATATGCTTTGATTGATGTTATGATACATGAATAACATTGGTATAATATATTGGTATAATATAAATTTGATTTCAGAGAACTTCATCTACAATAAATTTGTCACCAGGAGAAGTGGAAGACGAAGAGGAGGATCCAAACTCTTGTGGCCCCACAGGACTCTGGGAAGCGCTAACTCCTTGTAACGGATGTAGGAACCTTGGCTTTCCCATGCTCGCACAGGTAAAGCTTCGCTTTCATTAAGGTAACACACGACTGTATGGTGGTTGCATATTTATTTGATTAAGTCTTTCCCATTCAGAGATGTGCTTGATCCTCTGCTCCCTTTGTAAAGCTTTTTTTTTCTTCTTTAGCTTCCTATGTGTCTCAGTCCAGCATGCAGTGAATTTGCACATTTGTTATATTTCTAAATTTTGGTGTTGATACTGAAAGGTTTCCTATTTAGAAATATTTAATGTTTATGATCCATAAATATGTCATTTAAAAGAATATGAAGATGTGACCTAAAGCTATAGTTAGAGGAGGCTATATTGAAGTTGTTTAAAAGCATCAATAGTGATACATAACTATTTTAGCAAAACAGAAGCATTATTGAATAACATGAATATATCCTGTGTCCCACTGGGAAGTTTCAAAACTGAGAACAGAACTCTAAAATACTGACTATATTGTTTATTAACATTTCAGTATTAAACCAGCTTTTTTGTACTGTGGGTCGTAAGGTTCAGAAATGAAACAATAGAGTTAGGAAATTTGAAGCTGCAATCAAAATATTTCTACATAAGATGAGATAAACTTCATACGGATGAAGATGATGTTGAAATAAGGTTAACTATACTGAAAATGGGTAGGAAAGTAATCCATAGCAGATAAAAGCCATATTGTCTAGAAAAGATATGATTTCTCTGTGTTGCACCTGGGTTTAGAGAGCATCCTTTTCCTTATGGATATGTCACAGGAAGTTTGATCATACCCCTCGAAACTCCAATAAGAATTTTTGTGAAAAGCTACATAGTATATTCATATATATATGAATATGTAGTATGTAATATATTCACATATATTATATGATATATAGTATTTAAATATATATGTATTTAAATATATGATATATAATATTTAAATTTTTCTTCATAGGACTTTTGTAATATTTGCCCTAAATTTTATATGATTTGTTATTAAGAAACAATGAACTGTGAGTTCTGCGAAGAAGGAAGATCAGTTTGTTGATATTCAATATCTGTGGATGATAGCACCAAAGTTCTTGTAGTCAGAATAGTGGGTGGACCAGTGAGCATTTCTTCCCTTAAGGTCTTCATGTACAATATACAAATCTCTATCCATATTTCATCACAGTATACAAATCTAAGCCCATATATCTATGAATGTGGAGGGAAGGGAAAAGCACAAGTCTTTGTTTTATGGATATCCTAATCTGATTATTAGTTATATAATAATGAACATGTTTGCCCATTTTAATAATGTTCGAGACTTTGTCAAACTATGGTTTTTAATTATTTGTGTTATATATCTTAAAAAGTAGGACTCTTAGATCAAAATAAAGTATCAGAACTATTACTGTGAGACTCTGTAAACCAAATCATTGATACTATGACTTTGTCTGGCCAGCCACACGTAACTCATGATTGCTCTAAGTATTTTTTTTAAAGTATTGATAGTAACTTTCTTCCAATTGCAATATTTATTTATTTATTTATTTATTTATTTATTTAGTTTTTTCGAGACAGGGTTTCTCTGTGTAGCCCTGGCTGTCCTGGAACTCACTCTGTAGACCAGGCTAGCCTCGAATTCTGGAACTCAGAGATCCGCCTGCCTCTGCCTCCCAAGTGTTGGGATTAAAGGCGTGTGCCACCACTGCCCGGCTCCAATTGCAATTTTTAAGTGCTGGGTTTTCTTTGATAATTTGTCTGAGAAGACCAGAATTGCTTGAATAAATTTCTTAGATAGTCTAGATATTAATATTTCAGTAGTTAGATTTATCACAAAGTGTTCTTAATCTTTAACTTTTCTGTTATCTTAATTTGTATTCACATGCACAAGTATATTGTGCAGTTTTTAATATAAAATTCATTAAACTTTTCAGAGCTATTTTTCCTTTAATTTATTGCTTTTAGAATTGCTTTTATCTTTAATTACAGATACAACTCTATATTGGATTTTACTTGTTAATGCCTAGTTTTCCTATAACTGTCATATAAACAATAACATATTTCTCTTCTTATACTTAGTCCTTATGGTTTGATTTTACATCTAAAATCTCATTTATTTCTGCTTTCCCAATATGTAAACTGCTTGGCTAAGTGTTGATATTATTAACCCATGTTATTGTATTAAAACTATTCCCTGGCTTGTTTGTTTGCTTTTGAACTTTTATATTTTATAATTACTATGCCAAGTTTAAAAGGTGTTCTTTTTGGATTTTATTTGTTGTTATATTAAATATACAAATTTATATATGATATAGTATTTTTTAAATCAGATTTAATATAGCAATCTGGAAATAGACTCTTACTAATGCTTTCCTCATATAAGTTCTTGAAAATGTATATTTTGTGTATCTGGGAACTATTATTCATGGGTTCTCCTTTAATAAGCATATGTGTACATATAAATGAGCCATATATATGCTTATAATTTTTATTTCAAAAAGTATGTGAAGGGATTTTGCAGTTTTACAATTAATACACACATATCTATTTTAAATTTCACTTATTATGGTTAGTATGTGGAGGTGCATGTACCATTGTATGTGTGTGAAGGTTAAAGGACAACTTTGAGGAATTGGTTCTTTATATAGATTCCAGGATAGAACTTAAGTTGGTGGGCTTGCACAGTACTGCTAAGTCATCCCATGGGTCCTGTGTGTATTTTATATATTTTATAAATCCCATCATCTTCAAGCCTGCTGCTTTTATTTCATTACAGAGAAATTTCCAAGCACATGATTTAGCCATCCAGAAGTAAATGTATTTTAAATATTTTAAAATTATCATCTTTAATTTATTCAGTATTTCTCAGCTTTTTTTTTTTCAAAGAAGGGAGAGGACATGAATCACTTCAGAACTTAAGGAAACTTTGTGACCTAATGCTAAGGTTGTGATCAGCTCCCGGATTTCTGTTCTGAAGCAGAAGGAGATAATACTTATCACCAAAGGAATATAAACTCTGGAAAGACACTGAGCTAAGAAGTCAGCATTTCTAAAGAAGCCTTAAAAAACAGAGACACTACACAAGTATCTTATCCATCTATTCAGTGATGGATCCAGGGCCCACTCTGCAGTGAGCTCTGGGTCCCTACCCTCAAGAGCTGCTTTCCAACTTTTTAGGGAGGTCATCAGTATCAAATGGAATGTGTTTAAATCACATACCAGCATACCACCTGAAGCATTTTTTTTTTACTGTAAAAATATTAGTGTGTTTAATTTCTTTCCATTTTAGGTACTTTGCCCGAAGTAAACTATGATTAAATATATTTTCTGAGTAATATAACCTAGGATTTTTCAAAATTAAAGCATCCAACCTGCAAAACATGTTTCACACTTAGAACCTATTTTTCACATTACTTTATAGTCTGCTTTGGGCTCCATTGTGCTTGGTGTCATTAGTATGGTGCTTTATAGATTTTACATGCCCAGATGTGTAAACACCATATATAATGCTTCTTGTACTTCATATTACTACCACTTAATTTAATTGAGTCTAACTAACATCTATCAAATATCTTTTATGTTTAAAGCATAGTATTCAGGTTACAAATCAAAACTATTATAGAAAGAATACAGGCTCACCTAGTATCCAGGCTACACATATATCTAATCCTAAAGTATTCTTAAGATTGAGTAATATTTTGATTTGTAAAATGAAAACATAGACCTAATTCCCAGTTTTGGTCTAGGCCTTGAACTGACTTAATCCTTCAGATTTTAGATTTCATTTTTCCTTGCTCCAATACTAAAAACAGAATGAACAGGTTAAGTGATGGACACTTTCGAGTTCATGCCTGTGAATGAATTGTATGGAGTTTTATCTTTTTGTTTTGACTGGACTGACATCTCTGGAAACCATTTTCTCTTAAGCCCATGAAGCCTCAGGGTGCTGAATAACATCAAGTGACTAAAGTTCTTAGAAAATACTGAGATTTCCTGTCATTAGAAGTTTTATGTAAAACAAACAAGATAAAGCTATGCAACAAATTAGAAGGGAATCGGTGGAAACTCTTTCTAGAAAATAGGACCAATTTCAAAGTTTCTCTTTGAATCACAGCTAACCAGAGTGATTGCTACCCTTTTAGCAGTGTGTACTATGTGCTAGGAATTTCACAGACATCATTTCTATTGTGAAATACTAGAAATTTCTCTAATGTTATTGCTTGCAAATGATGGGTGATTTGGCCTTGAGCCTTTCCAAATATGATGCCTGTCCAGAAGTAAGGGTAGGATTTCAGCATTCAAGGCTCACCAGGAGCCTCATCTGTTCTCCTCAAAGTACGATGGTTTCATCTTCTAGTCTATTCAAAGACTTCTGCTGGGCCCTTGATCTCTTCCTCAAACCCTGGCCAGGGTGCCTGTAAGGTTCCCCTGATGATTTCAGGATAGTAAACAAGGTTTTCCCAGTGAAATCTTGTATCTGTAGAAGGACACAGTTTTAGATAGGAAGGTGGCCAGGAGCAAGCATCGTTGGAGCTGTTTTGATGAATTATTATCTGTACAGACTTCAAGAGAAACAGCTTGGTTAAGCTCTAAAATGCATGCATGTTTATCTCTTTCCAGCACAGCATGGCCATATCTGGCTAAGCCCTCACAAACGTCAGTTGTATTTCTCTTTCTACTGTTCTGGTTACAGGTTCTACCCAGAGATATAAAACATGCTCATTGCAGGGCTGCTCTGGGCTGTTTAATTTGCTAGTAGATTATCTTTGATCAAGACAACTCTTAGAGCCTGTGCTACACCTTTCTAAACATACTTACAGGGCATCTTTGGTCTACTTCTTTGGCCTCTCTGGCAAGTGTGCAGTTGGTTGACTTCTGCAGCCACCTTTTCTGACCCTGGATGACTGAGGACTTTCTGGGAAGTGTTGATCAAGTGTTCTTCATTATACACAGTCAGGCTCTTAACAATGCACACAGTCAGCACCTTGGATCTAGGCAGTGTTCTGCCCAGTATATGAGGCATGGGGGCACATAAGTGTCAGGCCATTGCAT